GAGCAACTCGTCCCCTCCTCGATTCGACCAGAAGCGGAGGGAACTGAAGCACGGTGTTCATCTATTGAACGACTTCTTGCCTCGTCCGTATTAAGACAGCTGGCTGCGGCTTGGCTGCTGACCGAACTAGCATTGTTGCTGCGAGACTTCTTCAAATCGGGGGCACCGAGTGGTGTGCTGTTGTAACCTCCACGGCCAATGTGATTCAAACCTTTGCTAGATTTCACAGTGACCTGCCTTTGTCTTGACGTCCGGTCAGTTGCTGACATTCTTTGCGACGTTGATCTCTGATTTGATGCGCGATCGACACATGCTCTTGACAAAGACTCTGTTGGTTGAGGTTCAGAAGCAAATTCGCGCGCGCCGCTCACAACGTGCCTAAGAGGCCCACGAATGTCATATATTATTCTCATCGCAAAAAGGATCACTTTGCTCTGCTCCTAGCTGAGCCATTGCTAGCTGTTTCGCTTTCTCATGATTTCTTTGAATTGCCTCGCGTACGGGACCGCAAACAGCACAGCGTGGATCCTTACATCGATGGTAATGAGAGAGAACATAACGTGACGAGACACAGTGTGCCATCTGACACTGCTGATCTTTGCACTCAGCTATGTGTTTCCACAACCGCTTCATGCCACCACAGTGTGGCGTCACAGGGCAAGTTCCGTTCTCATGCGGACACTTGGATGCATGGCGCAAAAGCAATAGACGCTGTTGTTGCTGACGTAGAACCTGCTGACGCTGGTCCGCATGATATGGACGTTCTGCTGAAGCATCGCGTAGCGTTCCAGCGGTCCCCAGGGACATTCCTTCCGGCCCGCCAGCCCTTGTAGCTTTGCCAGGCTCAGCCTGTGTTGTCGGTCCCCTCTCCTCAGCCGCAGTCCCAGAGCTCATTAACGGATTGATCTCTGAAAGCGATACCAATCTTTTTGTGCTACAAACCTATGTGAATTGTATCTCTCTTGGGAGCTGTTTCTTTATCAACGCTAGTAGAAACTGATGTGCCTCCAGCTCCTGATATTGTATTCAGGCGCCCAGATGGGCCATCTGAAAGTGTTACTGCATTTGCGGAGATTCCCTTTGTCTGGTCACAATCCTCCATTGAATCAGATCCGGGACATGCCGTCGCTGTGGGATTCCCCTCGTCCGTCTTCTGCTTTTGTTGTTGTGCGCGAAGACCCATGGCTATTGCTAGTGATTGGAGTCTTTTCTTCAGAGTTTGCGTATCTCTATATCCATCCTGGGGCAGAAGAGGTGAGTAGCTCAACAACGCGAAAAAATGGCACTCACAAATGACTCGGCAGATCGGAAAAGAGATTCCTCGAGTCGCCTTGCCATCTGAGGAAGTTTCTGCATCCATTCTACAGGCGCGTTCGGCTTTCTAGCTTGAAGAAGCCGGGCGCTGGAGGGTGAATGTTATGAACACATCGTCTAAGAATCACGTACATGTTTGTGATCATCTTACGTCTTTCCTGGAGGTGGACATCTTGAGCATACCAACTTGGGCAACTCGTCGACCGATGAGTTGTTGTTGTTGCTGCTGCTGCTGCTGCTGTCGACGTTGTTGTGGCGATGGGGAGCATTGACTCGTTCCCTTCGCTGGACATATTTTGCCAAGGCGACAGGAGGGCTTGGGCCGGCTGGTACTAGTACTAGTTAGGGACATGGGGTGTTTCGGCGTCCGGCTGGAGTCTATTGCCCTGGCTTGNGACTGGAAGGAGGGACTTCTGCCACGTGCCCCGGCGAGGCGGGGTGTTAAAATCCGAGTATGCTAGTATGAAGTGATAAAGCGGCGAATATCGCCCTTAGAACGCGAGTGTGATTAAGCACAATCACTGGCAAAGTGCGCTTGGCCGGGCGATAAGCCAGCTACCTAGGGAGCCTACATTCCGCTCCTAGGGCTATGCTGCCCTAACTCGGGGCTATGCTATCCTCCCTATGCTGGGACGCTCATACTGCCCTATGCTGGCTATGCTCAGTCTGCCTTATACTGGCTATGCTCATGCTATACTATGCTGGTGCTTCATACTAGCATACTCGGATTCTAACACGGTATATACTTTTTCTTTTCAGTATCCTTTGGTAAAGTTTGTGTTGTGCTTTGGTGATCCGTTCGGCTTGCAGGTTTTCCGATAGCCGCGTTGCGTTATCTTGGATGATGCTCGATACTATGTCGTGTCCATGTCTTGGGTGGACGTTTCCACTATCGGACCGTTCATCATCTGTTCATATGACACAGAGAATTTGTTCCCCGAGAGCAGTTTGGTTAGTCCATCTGCTGGATTCAGTTCTGAGGCTATCTTCAGTGGGTGAAAACGTTCAGCATAGCCCAAGGAGCGGAATGTAGGCTCCCTAGGTAGCTGGCCTATCTGATAAAACGGCGACTATCGAGGTCAGAACGCGAGTGTGATTAAGCACAATCAAAGTGCGCTTGGCGATAAGCCAGCTCTGCATGCTGGCTGAGCAGCCTGCTGTATTGCAACATAAGCGCCTCTTTCATATCGACATAAGACTCTGGAGACTTTGAGAATTGAAGTTCTATTGTATACTCATCTAGTCTGCTCCTATTCATGATCAGCACGATCGTGGGCATGTCCCCGCCGGGTGCCGTTTCATGGGTGCATGTGGACGTCGAGTGTTATTTCGACGTTTTAAAGTCCCCTCGTGACAACCGGCGACGCAAAAAATGGATGAGATCACGAAAGCGGAAGCCTTCGCTCTTGCAGAGCTCTTCAACCCATCATTTCCTCTCAAGGAATGGCTTCTTGGCGCGGCAAAGCGCTCGGAGTCTCGGCGACGATGTTCGGACTCGAATCTCTATCTGCAGGAAAGAAACCTATGGTTATTGGCAGCCAAGTTAGCTGGCAGCGAGCTTCTAGGCGATGGCACCCATGCCGAGAGCGTCGGTCGAAACAGCGAAGAGAATTGTGGAAATGTTCGGTCTGAGACTTCAAGGCGATGGCAGTGTGTTCTATCTTGGCTGGAGGCCACGGCGGAGGAGAATGTTGAGTACTTTGAGCATTCAACTCACCGCAGCGCTGTGAACATCGATAGTGACTGCGTTGAGGGCGTCGTGTCTCGGGCCTTGGCATTGACACCAGATACCTGCCTTACTGCAGTACGCATTCCAGTGCTCCAAATTGATTTGCCAAGGTGTGAGGTTCCCATGTAGGCGAGCATGCAGGTGCGCGCAGTCGCCGAGGACGAGCGCGCGCGTGTCAGGTCGATGCAAGTTTACAGTGTCTTCATCTGCAGGTCATGCTGTTGCTTTGACCACACTCACAAGATAGGTACCTAATCGTGCGGGCAGGGCGTACCAAGGATGCAGCATCGCTTAACTTCAGAGTACCACAGGGTTTGTGGAGCGCAGTAGTGCTACGTGGTGGAGACCCCTGGGACAGTGGAAAGTCTTGCGCATCTCCCAAGCTCGGCAATCGACAGCTACAACTTTGGCGTCACTGCTGCAAGCAACGGTGTCGAAAGGCGCTCAAGATTGGTGAGCGGCTACAGGATAATGCCACTAGAAAGGCGATGAAAGATGTGGTTTTCTTTGCCGCGTCCAGACCACCGATGCGTAACAGTCAATAGCTCGGTCCCCGAGTCGAGATGTAAATGATTATCCCTCGCGCGTCTAGGTCTGGCATGCGGTACTAGCCCAAGGGCGTTGTAATATGGAAGCGCATGTACTTGCAGCCACTCTGCACGCATCGGTGGTTGCAACTGCAGAGGCTTGCTTGTACGAAGCCGCAATACATGCTATATTCGGCGGTGATGTGGCTGCATTTACACGCGCGCGACCTCGGGCATCTTGGGAAGATTATGGGTGGGCTAGGATCAAGTGCGCTGAGGCCAGTACCGCAGTCGACACCGCCAGTTTGCATGAGCATTCGCTGTCTAATCGACTGCCACTTAGACCAGAGGAATCAGCACTTGCGGAACTAAATGCGCTGCCTGGGACGACGCTTCAGACGCTTTCTGCGAGATTGGGAGCACATGGCGCAGCGGCTATTCCAGAGTTTCTCTTGTATCCAACCGAAGATGATGGATCCACAGAGTATGCAGCGATCTGCCGGGTCAAGGCTACTCTCGCGTGTATCTGGCGACGTGTGGCTGGGATGGGAACAAGTATACTAGCACATGACGCGCTGTGCGACCAGTGGCTAGCTAGGTATGCTGTGCAGCTATCGACAAGCCCAATGACAATCCAACTTGCGGCCTTTTACAGCGCACCTTTGCATAGGGCGCGTCTCCAGCACGTGGCTGAATGTTTTTCAGGTGCAAATAATGCTTGTGAAATAGACTCCTGCCTTGAGGCGGCTAAAGAAGCCCTGGGAGCAGAAGCAGTGCCTGAACTTGCATGCCGTGTCTGCGATCAATTCGTTCAGAAGGTTCAGAAAAATGGTGCGCTGTCGCTATCAGCATCTTTGACATCAGGGAACAGGGCTCGCAATTTTTTCGCGCTCGGGTGGCTCGCGGCTGTGCCTCTTGAGCTCGTTCGCCACGCGAACTCGATCTTAACAGACCTTGGGCTTTCTGCTATTATGCATTGCGATGATGTTTTCTGGATTGACGTAGATGCTGCTCTTGCCTACATTCCGAACACTGCACTTGATACTGTTGTAGATGTGGCTTGCGCCCGTGGCCCCCATGACGTGTTCGCCACTGCACTTCTTAAAATTCATCTTGGCTGGCGTACAATTCGACTTGCCATACGATGCATAAATACCTGGCAAGATGTACCACTGAGAGCCTTAGCTCAAACTACCTCAATTGACTGCGGACCTGCTACTAAGAGCGCTCATCAATGTTCCACTGCCACGTATGACACCCTTGTCGCTACTTTCGCTTTCCCTATGCAATCTTCGCTAAAAGCCTCTTTTACACCCGTGCACTTTCAAGCCGACTGTCTCGGTGCGGATGATACAAAGGATGCCAAAATTGATCTGCAATGGCGCATTGATGTACTCCTCAAGACCCTCGTTGGCCCTCTCGTTGGCGGCTTCCTTCCAAAGCTAGGCTGGCTCGATCTTGGTGCGCTACAGGAAGCAGCATCAATTGGAAAAACCAAAATAGATCATTCGTTCAGAGTGGCCGGTACTGTACTCATTCACGCAACTGATGTTGCTCGCACTACTGCAGATGCTTTGTCACAGCGTGATCAACCCGATCTAGCCTGGCACTGGTATATTAATTGCCTTCAACTAGCTGACATTCTTGCTGAGCCTGAGGCCGACGGTGCAACTCGTCTTGCTGTTGTCCGCGACCTAGAGTGGCTTTTTCCTAGGAGTCCGTTTTTCGGCACACCGCAATTCCTTAGGTATGCGCTACTGACATCCAGCGGACCCTCTTTCGAGTCAAGGCTTCTGCTGTCGAGCTCCTGCGCTACGTGAGCTCACACAAACGACAGGATAAGAATGAAATGAATAACGCAGATTGGCACTTCTTGCTTGCTCCTGGTCATGATCATCACAACCATAAAGGCACGCCAGCACTGCTACCACCGCTACCACACACGCCATCTGGGGGTGTTGAAGCCCGCGGGAAATTCGACGCGCTCCAGCCTCAGAGCGCTTTGGGCTCCGCCCGCGGCCCCAGAGCCTGAGCAAAGCCCCTAGCCGCTGGCGTGGTGTTGTCGGGGACGTCGCTGGTTCCCCGAACGCGGGAAACTCGACGCGTTCTAGTTTGGGCCCCGCCCGGCCCCCCGGCGCCTGAGTAAAGCCCCCGGCTGCCGACCCAAAATTCTCGGGGGCGGTTCGGGTTCCTTGGGGCCCCCTCCAGCGCAGGGGGGGGTTCTGGGCGGGGTTCTGCCGCCGGCGGCGGCCGCGGAGCCTCGGGGCCTACGCACGGGGCCTACTACTAGTCCTTACTAGTCCTTACACACCTAATTGTCGGTTCGCTGCAAAGGCTCAACAACAAACAAAACGAGTGCTGAGAATCGACTCGTTCGAGCTCTAGAGCTCAAACAAGCTCACAACTGATGCCCTCCATGGAATTCATAACACTGCTGCGCCACCTGTGGCGGTCGAGCCGGGCTTATGGTAATTTTATGTTGAACTTCCCCACGCCTATGTTGCACTTATTGACAACGTGTGGTCCATGTGAGCCATTCGAGGCGCCTAGAGCACCGGACACGCCGTTCCATCGGCCTCCGAGCACGTCCATGAAGCCCTGCGGCCCACACACTGCCCGGCGGCGGCTGCTGTCGACCACAGGCTACTTCAACATAGGGCTGCCTATTCAACTTGAACTTCAACATGGGGCTGGGCCGCGCTCGTTTCGGCCACTCTTTTGCTGGGCCAGAGTGGAGATTGAGGTCGATTTTACTTTCTTTCCAAAAGTGAACTAACAAGGCCTAGGAGATTGTTTTTTCCCGGCCCGGCAAGGGCTAGGAGATTCTTTCATACGGAGAATACCCCCCGCAAAATTTCCCGCGATCGAGCTAAAAGCGCAGACAAAAGCGAGGACCGTCGCTTCGTCGGCGAGCCTGCCGAAGGTCTCGACGGCCCAGCCCCATCCAAAGGCTAGGGCACGTTCCCTAATGCACTGGCCGGCCTCAAACGGCGCGGACCTACATGGAACACATGAGCAACACGAAAATGCTCGCGTCGCCTACAGCGCTCTTTATACCCGAGAATTGCAGGACACTGCGAGCGCGCCGCGGTAGCGCAGGCGGGCGGACGAACCGCCGCAGGCAAGGATCATCTGAAGGGATCTCCAAAACCTCGAAATAACACTCGACGTCCACATGCACCCATGAAACGGCACCCGGCGGGGACATGCCCACTATCGTGCCAACCAAGGTCGCATCCGCGCAGATTCGATGCGAAGCAACCCACGCGTCGTCGAGCAAAGTTACGGGCACGTTCAACACATCACCCGGTTGACTCAAACCGGTTTGGAAGGCCGAGAGGTACTCCTCGACGGCGCCCATAACCGGCCAAAGCTCGAAATAGCTCGATCGCGGGAAATTTAGCAAGGCTATTCTCTACATGTTTGGGGCGAACCAGGCCTAGGAGGTTGTTTTTGGCGCATTTTGGTTCAATTTTACTTCAACTTTACGGCAAGTCACCTTCTAGGAGATTCTTTTCGGGGCTGCTCAGCCGTGGGAAAGTGACCTTGGGAGCTCGATCTCCACTCTGATTCTGGCACTCTCAATTGAATCGAGCTCAGCCTCCCCTTGAGGGAGGAGTTTACCTTGCTTCCTTCAGCTTTAGGCTAATAGTCAGGTTTCTAGCTGCGGGTATTGTTCTATTGTAGTCGGCTTTTAAACAGATCGGGAGACGGACGGACTCGGTTGCTCTGATGGCGTCTGGTCGCGTTTGCCATTTCAAACTCGTCCTCCTTGGCGACACGGCGGTTGGAAAGTCGTGCTTGGTTGTCCGCTTTGTCCGGGACGAGTTTTTTGAATTTCAGGAACCTACTATCGGAGGTGATTAAGGTGTTGGGGTCGATTTTATTTAGTCAAATCACGCAGCTGCATTCCTAACCCAATCTGTCAACTTAGAGAATGCAACCGTCAAATTCGAAATTTGGGATACGGCTGGACAGGGTGCGGAGTTATTCTGTGCCTGATTCTAATAATTCTTTGATAGAACGTTATCGAAGCCTTGCCCCCATGTATTACCGTGGTGCTGCGGCTGCTATCGTTGTTTACGACATAACCAATAAAGAGTCGTTTAACGGTGCAAAGTCATGGGTCAAAGAACTTCAAAGACGTGGCGATCCCAATGTCATAATTGCTCTTGCTGGAAACAAAGCCGACTTGCAGAACAAGCGTCGAGTTGAGTCAGAGGTGAATAGACTGTGGCTTGCCTTGTTTCAAAAAAAACATAGGAAGCAAAACAATACTCAGAAGAAAACGGCATTCTTCATATGGAAACGTCGGCAAAAAATGCGACACACGTTAAGGACCTATTCCAAGAGATTGGTATGTGGGTTTGTATAAGCGAAGATGATGGTTTGATCATATGTGCAGCACGAAAACTACCGAAGACCCCGCCTCAGCCCGAGCGAGACGCGTTCCCGATTATTCCGTAAGCAATAGACTATTCTTTACAAATCTCATCTGAGTTACTTACAGCCCCAAGCACAATGAGAACAAAGTGTGCTGTTAACGATTTTTTCTTGCTAAGCTCCAAAAGTCCTGATTCTGCAACAGAAATGCTTGACGCGCCTAAAGAAGCAAACAGTGGTGAGTTCGGCTGATTGCGCAGGGAGACAATATTGAGCCATCCGCAAGATAAAGGTGGGCCATCGAGGTTACTGACTGTCTCTAGTGTCGACAGTGCGACTCCCTCCCTCCCGATTTGCGGATTTTTAGATATGCTATGGAGCTCGGTGGGTTTTCGGTATTGTGGCCACAATACTGTTCGGCAAGTTGGATCCCAATTACCTCGGGCCAGCCACGCGGCAATGAGTATGATCGTTGGGCGAGCAGTCCCTGGGTAGTTGAGGCCTGCTGAGGTGGCTGCGCCATCCAAGCGCGGTCCGTCGGCCTTCATTCTGGCACTCTCAATTGAATCGAGCTCAGCCCCCCCTTGAGGGGGGAGTTTACCTTGCTTCCTTTAGCTTCAGGCTAGTGGGGGACACGAAAGGCCAAGTGGACGGAAACATATTGTACTTGCCGTAAATGCAATACTACAATATTAGTATTAGAGAGGTTCAGTTTTGCTTTGGATGGTCTTTCAAAGCTGGAATAGACATTGCCGACTGTTGAAACGAGACATCTAGGCGATTCCGTAGCGACTCAGACGGGCGGTTACAGGGAGCGAAATGGGACGCGCTCGACTCCCCCGGCCTCCTAAAGCTGTTTTCGAGCCCACGCAGCACCACGGATCGTTTGTCGTCACCAATCGCTCCATCGCCTCCAGCTGCGTCACGCCCCGGGCCGCCAAGGCCTCCTCACGGGCTGCCCCGCCCCCGCCCCCCGCCCCCGCACGCAGCCTCCATGACGCGCCGCGCGCACCGAATAATGTCGATCCCACGGCGCGGG